TAACAATTTAAGAAACCCTGAGAACAAATGGATTTGTCAGTTAAAAATAGGAGAGGAGATTTATTAAATGGAGAGTTAGAGGTATTGGGAAGATGGAAGGAATATTTTGGGAATTGTTAAATGTTGATGAAGATAGGGAAGCTGTGATTTCGTGTATAGGGCAAGGAGGAATAACATCTTGTAGGAGTGAGGAAGAGCCAGTTGTGAGTGTGGGGGAAGTTCGTGGGCAGTGGGTAAAATGAAAGGGGGTAAGGCAGCCGGGATTGATGGGATTAAAGATAGAAATGTTAAAAGCAGGTGGGGATATAGTTTTGGAGTGGTTGTGCAATTATTTAATAAATGTATGGAAGAAGGTAAGGTCCCTAGGGATTGGCAGGAGCATGATATTCCTTTGTATAAAGGCAAAGGGGATAAAAGAGAGTGCAAAAAATTATAGGGGATTAAGTCTGTTGAGTGTACCTGGTAAAGTGTATGGTAGAGTTATAATTTGAAAGAATTAAGAGTAAGGGCGGAGAATAGGATAGCAGATGAACAAGGAGGCTTTAGGAAAGGTAGGGGGTGTGTGGACCAGGTGTTTACAGTGAAAATATAAGTGAAACGTATTTAGATAAGGCTAAAGAGGTCTTTGTGGCATTTATGGATTTGGAAAGGCGTTGACAGGGTGGATAGGGGGGCAAAGTGGCAGATGTTGCAAGTGTTTGGTGTAGGAGGTAGGTTACTGAAAGCAAATGAAGAGTTTTTTCGAGGTAGTGAGGCTCAAGTTGAGTATGTAGGAAAGAGGGAAATTTTTTCCCCGTTAAAAGTAGGCCTTAGAAAGATGTGTGATGTCACCGTGGTTGTTTAATATATTTATAGATGGGGTTGTAAGAGAAGTAAATGCGAGGGTCTTGGCAAGAGGCGTGGAGTTAAAAGATAAAGAATCACACACAAGTGGGAGTTGTCACAGCTGCTCTTTGCTGATGACACTGTGCTCTTGGGAGATTTTGAAGAGAAGTTGCAGAGATTGGTGGATGAAAATTTTGGTAGGGTGTGCAAAAGAAGAAAATTAAAGGTGAATACAGGAAAGAGTAAGGTTATGAGGATAACAAAAAGATTAGGTGATGAAAGAAATTTAATATCAGATTGGAGGAGAAAAGTATGGAGGAGGTGAACGTATTCAGATATTTGGGAGTGGGCGTGTCAGCAGATGGGTCTTTGAAAGATGAGGTGAATCATGAATTTATGAGGGAAAAAGAGTGAGTGGTGCACTTAGGAGTCTGTGGAGACAAAGAACTTTGTCCTTGGAGGCAAAGAGGGGATGTATGAGAGTATAGTTTTACCAACGCTCTTATATGGGTGTGAAGCGTGGGTGATGAATGTTGCAGCGAGGAGAAGGGTGGAGGCAGTGGAGATGTCATGTCTTGAGGGCAATGTGTGGTGTGAATATAATGCAGGAATTCGTAGTTTTGGGAAATTAGGAGGAGGTGCGGGATTACCAAAAATGTTGTCCAGAGGGCTGAGGAAGGGTTGTTGAGGTGGTTCGGACATGTAGAGAGAATGGAGCGAAACAGATGACTTCAAGAGTGTATCAGTCTGTAGTGGAAGGAAGGCGGGGTAGGGGTCGGCCTAGGAAGGGTTGGAGGGAGGGGGTTTAAAAGGGGGTTTTGTTTTGCGAGGGGCTTGGACTTCCAGCAGGCATGCGTGAGCGTGTTTGATAGGAGTGAATGGAGACAAATGGTTTTTAATACTTGACGTGCTGGGTTTGGAGTGTGAGCAAAGTAACATTTATGAAGGGATTCAGGGAAACCGGCAGGCCGGACTTGAGTTCTGGAGATGGGAAGTACAGTGCCTGCACTCTGAAGGAGGGGGGTTAATGTTTTCAGTTTAAAAACTGTAGTGTAATGCACCCTTCTGGCAAGACAGTGATGGAGTGAATGATGGTGAAAGTTTTTCTTTTTCGGGCCACCTGCCTTGTGGGAACGGCCGTGCTGTTATAAAAAAATAATAAAATTTAATGTTTTATTTATGTATATATTTTTATAGAGATTTTTATTTGTATATATTTATATATATATATTTTTATATAATATTTATATATATATATATTATCATTGTATAACAGTGGACCCCCGCTCTTCAACGTTCACTCCAAATGCGACCAATTAGGTAACTGCTGTATTTATGCTAAGTGCGTTTGTACGTGTATGTTTGGGGGTCTGAAATGGACTAATCTACTTACAATATTCCTTATGGGAAAAAAATTCGCGTCTGTACTGGCTACCTGAACGTACTTCTGTGAATGATTATAGTTCGTTAACCGGGAGGTCCAATGTATATGTATATGTTTGGATATATATATATTTATATATATATTTATGGAGGACAAAGAACTTTGTCCTTGGAAGGCAAAGAGGGGAATGTATGAGAGTATAGTTTTACCAACGCTCTTATATGGGTGTGATGATGCATGGGTGATGAATGTTGCAGCGTGGAGAAGGCTGGAGGCAGTGGAGATGTCATGTCTTGTGGGCACATGTTGGTGTGAATCTATGCAGAGAATCGTAGTTTGGAAGTTAGGAGGAGGTGGCGGGATTAACCAAAACTGTTGTCCACAGGGCTGAGGAGGGTTGTTGAGGTTGGTTCGGCATGTAGAGAGAATGGAGCCGAATCAGAATGACTTCAGAGTGTATCAGTCTGTAGTGGAAGGAAGGCGGGGGTAGGGGTCGGCTAGAAAAGGTTCGGAGGGAGGGGGTGGTAGGTGGGTTTTTGTGTGCGAGGGCTTGCGACTTCCAGCAGGCATGAGATGTGAGCGTGTTTGATAGGACGTGAATGGAGACAAATGGTTTTTAATACTTGACGTGCTGTTGGAGTGGAGCAAGTAAATTTTGAAGGGATTCAGGGAAAACCCGGCGGGCCCGGGACTTGAGCCCGGAGATGGAAGTACAGTGCCTGCACTCTGAAGGAGGGTGTTAAGTTGCAGTTTAAAAACTGTAGTGTAAACCCCCCCCCTTTTGGGCCCAAGACGGATGGAGGAATGATGGTGAAATTTTTTTCTTTTTCGGGCCCACCCTCCTTGGTGGGAATGGCCAGTGTGATAATAAAAAAAAAAAAAAAATGTGTCCTGTACTGTTTTAAGTTTGAAAAGCCCCCCGGAGACAAACTTTTGCCACAAAAAAAATGTCAAATTTTTTTTTTGGTTTTTTATTTTTCAAGGTAGAGAGTTGAAAGATCATAGATAAAAATAGGGTGATTTTTTTTTTTTTTTAACAAGTGCCGTCCCCCACCGGGGAAGATGACCAAAAAAGAAAGAAAAAATCCCCAAAAAGAAAATACGTACTTTCACATTCAAAAACCCCCTTTCCCTCACTCACACATAATCAATGTTTTTTCAGAAAGGGGTCAGAATACAACATTTTGAAGTCTATATGTATAAAAAGAGGTATAGGTTGGTAACAGCAACGCCCCGGGAAAGGGACTACCCACTGCCAAGTGAGTGAAAACAAAAGCCTGTAATTGTTTTACTGAGGTAGGATTGCTGGTGTCCCCTTTTTTTGTTCATAAACATGCAAGTTTTCAGGGACCTTGGCTTTCTAACTTTCACTTAGGTCACACTACAATATATGTTTTAAGAAAATTATATTTACCCCCCTTGGTTTTTTCTTTTTTTCTTTCTAGTTCTTGTTCTTGTTTATTTCCTCTTATCTCCATGGGGAAGTGGAACAGAATTCTTCCTCCGTAAGCCATGCATGTTGTAAGAGGCAACTAAAATGCCGGGAGCAAGGGGCTAGTAACCCCTTCTCCCATATAAATTACTAAATTTAAAAAGAGAAACTATCGTTTTTCTTTTTGGGCCACCCTGCCTTGGTGTGATACGGCCGGTTTGTTGAAAAAAAAAAATTATAAATATACACAACATATCCCTCCAAACTGCCAATATCCTAAACCCCTCCTTTAAAATGCAGGCATTGTACTTCCCATTTCCAGGACTCAAGTCCGGCTATATAAAATAACCAGTTTCCCTGAATCCCTTCACTAAATGTTACCCTGCTCACACTCCAACAGCTCGTCAGGTCCCAAATACCATTCGTCTCCATTCACTCCTATCTAACATGCTCATGCACGCTTGCTGTAAGTCCAAGTCCCTTGCCAACAAAACCTTTACCTACTCCCTCCAACCTTTTCAAGGACGACCCCTACTCCGCCTTCCATCACCTACAGATTTATACGCTCTCCATGTCATTCTACTTTGATCCATTCTCTCTAAATGACCAAACCACCTCAACAAACCCTCTTCAGCCCTCTGACTAATACTTTTATTAACTCCACACCTTATCCTAATTTCCACACTCCGAATTTTCTGCATAATATTTACACCATGCATTGCCCTTAGACAGGACATCTCCACTGCCTCCAACCGCCTCCTCGCTGCAGCATTTACAACCCAAGCTTCACACCCATATAAGAGTGTTGGTACTACTATACTTTCATACATTACCTTCTTTTCTTCCATAGATAACATTTTTTTCCTCCACATATACCTCAATGCACCACTCACCTTTTTTTCTTCATCAATTCGATGATTAACCTCATCCTTCATAAATCCATCCACTGACATGTCAACTCCCAAATATCTGAAAACATTCACTTCTTCCATACTCCCTCTCTCCAATGTGATATCCAATTTTTCTTTATCTAAATCATTTGGAGCTGTAAAACATAACCCTTTTTTTCCCATATGTTCTTCACTTCCCATTATGCTAATTTTCAGGAACACTTGTTTTGAGAACGTTTACTGTACAGCAGAGAGATAAGATCTAGGAAGATATAAAATTAATTAAAACAATAGTTGGTGAGTGTTTTTAGAATGTTGATGAGTTTCAGCAATGTGTGACTTGTACTGGATATCTGTTTCTTTTTTGACATTTTTTTCATTAACGTCTGTGGGAAAATTGGCTACTAGTGGCATTTGTAACACTTAATATTATTCTTTCATAGTAACAGTATCATTTGTAATCCACCAGAAATCGTTTGATGCCCACCCACGTAAAGAATCACAAGTAAGACAGATGGCCTGGATTGGTGACGGTGTTTGGGTGAGCATTCGGTTAGATTCAACCCTTCGGCTCTACCATGCACACACACACCAACACCTTCAAGATGTTGATATAGAACCTTATGTATCTAAGATGCTTGGTAAGTAAACAGGTGTTTTTTTGTTGTCGGCTTGTTTTGGATTGTATCATTCTTCTTTATTTGCGAATTTAGTTTGAATTTAATGTTGCCTGTTGCCTCAGTGAGTTGCCTGTAACTTACCATTTCATCAGCACTAAAATTATTTTGCAGTTTCAAAGTTTTTGACTTGTTATTGCAGTGTAACAGTTTAACCAAGGTCAAATATAATTGTACTCTCATATTTTCTTAGAATTTTTTATTAAAGCATTTATATAAACATGAAAAATGGAACTTCTTTATTTCATTTTAAAAAGAGCCATAATAGCATCCTAAATATCAGGGTTATTTTATTTGTAATTTTTTCTTTTTGGTTGATTTATGTGTGATTTTTAATAAGTAGTTAAAGTACCCTAGAGAGAAGAATTGGCCCCAAATTTTTTTCTAAAATTATTAAAATAGGCTTTGTTGCATTTGCTAAGCATGAGGTGCTAACTTTTTCCCACAGTTATATATATAGGTGCATTAAAATATTTTACTTTGTCATTGTTTTTGCCATCATAGTTGTGGCTTCCTTGGTCTTTAGAAAAAATACTGAAATGTGTAGACTTAAAATTCAAGTTAGGTAGCCCCAGACACTAGCTGCCAGCACCAAGTCTTCTTGGAAAACTGTAATAATGCATCACTTTTCCACTGCTCACCACCACATAACACTGCTCATTGATTTGGCCTGATTTGCTGAACCTGCTGCACCACCACCACTACTACCACCACCTGCTGCTACCATCTCTACCACCACAACCACTGCTGCTGTGCTGCTGCTGATTACTGAATCCCCTCCCCCTCCTCTCTGCTGTTGTATCATCTGCTACTTTCTTCTGCTTGACCCACTGATGCTGTTTGATGACTGGCAAATTTTTACGCCTAACTAGGTGTCTTCCCTGGAGGTACTAATCAACAGTATTATTACATCAGGAGTTGTGATCTTAAGATGTCATTCTGATGTGTTCACTTTACAGTAACAATTAGTTGAAAATTAGTCTCTGGAGCTGTTATCTTAGGTTAAGCTTCCCAATTTTTAACCAGCTGCTGTAAGATTCGGAGTTATAATATTTTTGTTTTGAAAATTTTAACCCTTAAACTGCCCAAACGTAGATCTATGTTTTCACTTCCAGCTCTCTCATCTTTTTTTTTTTTAACCTTTGCCTTTGTCATATAAATACGTCTTATGAGCCAGTGTTTTTGACGTATTAATACACCGAAATTTTAGCAGCTTCAAATCAAGCAGGAGAAAGCTGGTAGGCTCACATGTGAGAGAATGGGTATACGTGGTGGGTGTGTGCAGTATCGGGGATCCAGTGGTGCATTGTGGGAAGGCCATTTCAGTATGCCTTGCGGTAAGAAGCTCCTTACTCCCTGGCAAATTGGGAATCTTCTTTTTCTAAGTGATAGTTCTAACACCTATGGAAGTGCCAATAAAGGTGAATTTCATGGTTTTGGGGAGTATGTGACCAAAAGCAGTGCCCAGGATAACATAATTAGTGATGAAAACCTAGAGGACCCACAACCTTCCACCTCTGGTGCTGGGCCATCTCATTCACATTCACCTGTACCAGGGCGAAAGAGGAAACTATTTCCTTGTGTACAGGACTCAGATGTGAGCAGTGAAACTGATAGTGATAGTGATTTCCAAGCTGTTGAATGCAGTTCGAGTTGCGACAGTGAGGAGAAATATTCTCCAGTGAAGTGGCAGGATGTGCGATGCAGCATGCATTCTGGTAGTGTGCCGTATGCCATTCCAATTGGAAGTAGTAAATATCGGAGTACATCCTGTGACCCTACACCACGAACTGATAGTGAAGATGACGATGATATTGTTTCACTGTGGATGGATAATGTGCGTGGGGCAACAGTTAGTGGTGGTGTTGGCGGTGATTTGCATCATATGGCACCAACAGTAGCCCACGCTGGTACCCATGCCGCTAACTCAGCACAGCCATAACGAAGGCCACCCCCACACTCCCACAACCTTCACAACCACAACCACCTGTCAGTATCCAGTACCCACCAGCAGACTGCATCTGGGATTGGCAGCAAGGTGCCAATTTTGTTCCCAATCCCCATCACTTTGATGAAACACAAAGTGGAATATGGCCATCGTGTACACTTGGGAACAATGCCACTAAGTAAAAGTAAAGTGAAATTTATTTCTTTGTAAAGGTTACAATGTGTAATTACAATTTTGATTTGCTAAGTACAAAGATAGCCACTATCATGCCAAGGCATTTTGGGCAGAATAATCCTAATACATAGTAACTAATTAAAACTAGATAAGTAACTAGTACTATACTTAAAACTAGACAAGAAGTAGTGGTTAACTGTTTTACAATCTTATTTAAACTTAATACAAATGCGAGGTAGTAAGGTGGAGTAGGGTTCGGTAAAATTATCTTGAAATTGCACACAAAATCGAACTTACAAGTAATGGTTCAGGTGACAATATTTTATGGATTGGCAGTATTAAAAGCATAGAGGTCACATAATAAAACTAATTAGCAGATGTTTTAGTTGAATTGGTAAATATTGAGAGATAAGATGATTTTATGGATTGGCAGAATTAAAATCTAGAGGTCACATAATAAAACTAGTTAGCAGATGTTTTGGTTGATTTGGTTAATATTGAGAGATAAGATGATTTTTTAGCAAAGTCCTAAATTTAGAAGTTGTCAGGGGATCCTTGACCTGTTCCAGTAGCGAGTTCCAGATCTTCGGGCCCTTTGTGTGCATAGCATTCTTGCATAGTGAGAGACTAACTCGAGGGATGTTAAAAAGTGCCTTATGCCTTGTATTGTTACTGTGCATTCTGTTGTAACTGTCAAGGAGTAGTTATAAGGGAGGGTTTACAGTAGAGTTTAATGTTCTGTATATGTAGTAGGCACAGTAATACGAATGTATGTCTTGTATATTTAGCAAACAGCTTTTTGTTGGATTATTAAGGGTCTAAGGTGATTGGTTGTGGTTGAGCCCCAGGCACAAATGCCATAGGTGAGGTAAGGATATATTAGAGTGGTACAGGGTAAGGAGTGTTGTTTGTGGTACATAGTATCGTATCTAGGAAAGGATTCCTACTGATTTGGAAATTTTCTTGGCTATGTGATGGGTGTAGGACTGAAATTTAAGATTACAGTCAAGGAGAAGACCTAGAAATTTGCCGTCCGTGTGTCTTGATATTTATCAGTATGTTAAGTTGGATATTTAAGGCTCAGTTGCCAAACAGCATGAAGTATGTTTGTCTATGTTGAGAGTGAGTTTGTTGGTCATCATCCAAGTATATATCTTTAGCAGTTCATTGTTTACAGTGTTTCTAAGTACAGCTGGGTCTGAATGGGAGTAGACATATGTAGGGTCATCTGTGAATAGAACTGGTTTAAGGAGTTGGGATGCACTGGGGAGATCATTGATGTAGATGAGAAAGAGGAGTGGGCCTAGGACACTACCCTGGGGTACTCCTACAGCTACAGGTTGGATAGCAGAGTTGACTCTATTTGCATATACATACTGGTGTCTGTCATTAAGACAGGATTTTAGGTAGTCAAGAGAATGTCCTCTGATGTCGTAATGATTCAGTTTGAGGTGCAAGAGATTGTGATCGACTGTATCAAATGCTTTTTGTAGGTTGATGAAGAGCCCTGAGGATATTCATTTTTATCGAGAGCTGTGTATATTAATTCAAGCATTTGTATAATATTGTATAATATAATATTGGCAGTTTGGAGGGATATGTTGTGTATCTCTATACGTATATGCTTCTAAACTGTTGTATTCTGAGCACCTCTGCAAAAGCAGTGATAATGTGTGAGTGTGGTGAAAGTGTTGAATGATGATGAAAGTATTTTCTTTTTGGGGATTTTCTTTCTTTTTTTTTTTGGGTCACCCTGCCTCGGTGGGAGACGGCCGACTTGTTGAAAAAAAAAAAAAAAAAAAAAATTGTATAATAGTGTCACTCGTACTTTTTTTGATCTAAACCCAAACTGGCAGGGGTTAAGTATGTTCTTGGAAGTAAGGTACGAGTTAAGACGCTTGTGTAGTATTTCTTCAAATATCTTGGAAAGTAAGGGCAAGTTTGATATGGGTCTGTAGTTGTTCAAGTCAGTTGGATCACCTCCTTTGTGAATTGGGGTGACCCTTGCTGTCTTGAGTATAGATGGGAAGGTTGAGGATGCTTTTTATATATACGAATGGTGGCAAGTTATCTAGATCACCTGCTTTGTTTTTTAATGATTTAATGACGAGTGAGACTTCAGTGGAATTAGTTGGTGCTAGAAATAGACTATTTGGGTAGCTGCCAGTGAGGTACTCATTCGGCTGGGCATTTGAGCTACGAATTTGACTTGATAGCTTTGATCCTACAGTAGAGAAGAAGACGTTAAATTTGTCGGCCGTGTCTATAGGCTGTATGTGAGGTTCATCTGGTTTAGTTAAGTTTATCTCTCTATTTCCAGATGGTTTCCTAGAGCCCAAAATTTTGGAGAGGGTTTGCCAGGTACTTTTCATATCACCTTTTATTTCACTAAATCTATTTTCAGAATACATTTGCTTTCATTTTCATATTAGTTTTGTGAGTATTGATGTGTATCCTTTAGTTAATTCTTTAGTAATTAGGCCCAATCTGAACTGTTTTTCAAGTTGGCGTTTTTTATTAACCCTTTGACTGTTTCGGTTGTATATATACGTCTTACAAGCCACCGTTTTGGACATCTATATACTAATAAATTCTAGCGGCTTCAAATCAAGCAGGAGAAAACTGGTAGGCCCACATGTGAAAGAATGGGTCTGTGTGGTCAGTGTGCACCATATAAAAAAAATCCTGCAGCATGCAGTGCATGATGAGAAAAAAAACTGACCTTTTCTTTTTTTTTTAATTGCCAACTTTGTGGTCTATTTTCATATAGTATTTATGGTTGTATTCTCGTTTTCTTGGTCTCATTTGATAGAATGGAAAATATATTATAGAAATAGATGTGATTTTGATTGGTTTTACTATGAAAAGAACCTTGAAATGGAGCTCAAAATAGGGGAAATGTTTGATTTTTGCCGATGTTCAAAAGTAAGCAAATGAAGTCATTTTCCAATAAATGTCAAAGTAGCCATTCTAATATGCAGTCATGAATGGGTTGACATTATTTATACAATTATTACAATATTGCAGTAGTCAGCATAACAGTAAATCTTCTATTTTTTGTTTGAATAAAAATTCAAAATAGAAAGCAAGAGTAATATCAGAGGGGCCTGGAGATGTGACTGATGAACAAAGAAAATGTTATTTTAGATCCGGGAATGTCTGCATTGTTCATTCTGGACCCTATTTTGAAATTGTCATATTTTTTTTAATTTTCATGAAATGGCCAAATTGCAAATTTCTGACCACATTATTAAGTAGTTTGAAATAGGTAAATAGGCAGTTTCTTTTACTCAATTGATAGAAAAAATGGAATTCTAAAGAAGTAGCTATGAGTTTGGTCGACTGGAACAATGGAATTAGCCGAAAATAGGGCTCAAAGTGGACGAAATCGCGGATTCGTAAATATCACCGAGGTCGCTAAATTCGTGAGAGCATAATTCCATCAGTTTTTCATCAAATTTCATTATTTTGGTGTCATTACAATTGGGAAAAGATTATCTATTATTTCGTAGGAAGGAAATAATTTTTTTTTTTCGGAAATTTTGCGACACCAGGAGAGACACCTCAGGATTTGAGGTTGCGACAGTCAAGGGGTTAATACATAGATTTGAGGATACTTTTTGTTAGCCCTGGGTTGTTTAATCTCTTTACTGTGATCTGTTTCATTTTGATTAGACAATGCTTGTTATAGAGGTTTAGAGTTTTTTTTTTTTATTAAAAAAAAAAAAAATGTAAAAAAATCTTGACATCTTTATCAATATTATTACTGTCAGCTAGCTCTCTCTGCCAATCATTGGCCCCTAGTGCTAGTTTTAGGTTGTTTATCGATGTCTCATCATGCAGACGAAATTAGATCTTTCTTGTTTCTTGAGGCAATTTACATAAGTTGGTTATGAGAAAGGTAGGGTAGTGGTCTGTGGTGTTGTCTGTGATTATACCTGCTTGTAGTGGGGATATTGTGTTGGTCCAGAT